TTTGATTAAAGGGATGTATGACGGGGCGTGCATGGCCTCTATTCGTGCATGGCGGTCGTAGCCCAGCGCTAGCCGCATACATCTGTTTTGGGCGATTTGCAATTTATTATAATGACTATTTGCCAATGTGCAGAAAACTGGACAGCCATATGTTAAGATGGGTCTAAGGATGGTTTTAAAAGTTAATAGCTTGTTTGACAGCGTGACTCTGCTCCTTCTGTTCAATAATGAGTATAGCGTTTTTATTGCCATGTGGTTTTTAGTTACTCTGTCTTTAGTATGTAGGTCAAATTTTAGCCCCCTACCCAGCTGAAAACCAAGGTATTTTAACTTGTTGCCTGTGATTTGATGATTTTCTGTTTAAAGCGGTATTAAAATGCCCTATATCTTGCGTTTAATAATCAACATACTTTCAGTTTTGACTGCATTAATTTTCATTTTATTTTTGGTTAAATAGGAGATTAATATCTCGTTTATATGTCTATCCAGTTCTATTACTGCTGTTTTCGTTAACGTCTTTAAAGACAATCTCAAGTATCCCGTGTTATATGTCCTTAATGGTTTAGAAATTCTTTCAAGAGTTTTCCTTTCCTTTCCTTCTAAATATAAAGTGGATATATCGTAAACGTGATCAGAATACTCTTTAAGTAGACACATTTTACTAATTGAAATACATTAGAATGTAGTCTTATCAATGTATTTAAACGATGATTCCAACCATCTAATGCATTTGTTGCTGCGATGTCTTTGCTGATGCTTTTAGTCTTTTTAAAACATCTAAGTTCTTTAGATGTTCATCGAATGTCTTCCCCAAGACTATGATGTCGTCTAAATACACCAGGCATGTTTTCCAGGATAATCCTCTCAATACGTTTTCCATGAGTCTTTCAAATGTCGCGAGGGCATTATGTAGTCCAAATGGCATGACACTGACTTGCCACAATCCAGATCCGGTGGTAAAAGCTATCTTTTCTATGTCTACTGGGTCCATTTCCACCTGCCAATATTCAGACGTTAGTCTAAGGTAGAAAATAGTTTACTTTCGGCCAAGGTAACGTCGATTCGAAGCAGAGGATAACTATCTTTCTTGGTAACAATGTTCAACTGACGGTAATCCACACAGAACCTCGTAGTTCAATCCTTTTTCTGAAACAGGACTACTGGAGAATCCCATGGGCTGGTAGAAGGTTCTATTACCATTTTTCTCCATTTTCCGAACAATTCTTTCAGCTTCCTTCCTCTTGGCCTTTGGTAATCTTCGAGCTGATTGACGAATCGGCCTGGCGTCATTAGTATCATTTTTGTGTTTTTTCCTGTTTTTCCTTCTTTTGGTACAAAAATGTCACGATATCGTCGAAGAAATTCCTTTATTTTCTGTTTCTCTAATTGATTTAGAGATTGACCAGCAACTGCAATTATTTGCTCGAATTTGTCATTGGAGTTATCAGAAGTTGTTGTCTGACGAATTATGGAAATTACTGGTATACAAGTTCCGATTTTGGTCTCTTTCTTAGTAATTGGGTGATCATTAACGTTTATAAAACGAAATGAAATTTCTTTAGCAGTCGTGACCAACCCCTTTCCGATCAGAATTTTTCGTTCAACCTCTTCATCGTGGCTCCAAGGTTCCATCATTACAAGTGTTCCTTCTTCTATAATTTCTTGAAGCTGTGCTACTATAATGGTTTCGCTTCTGCCAGGTACCACTGTATCTCCCTTTACAGTAACTGACATGGTACTGTCCCCATATGGATGTAGGAATATCTCTTCAGTAACAACTTTAATCACTCTCTTCTTAAAGTCTAACTTTAACCATGTAAGTTCATTACATCCATTCCAAGTATAATATCTTCTTCGATATCAGTGACAAAAACAGTATGAGTGAACTTTTCAGTACCAATTCCTAATTGAACCTGAATTCCCCATGAATGTTGGCACTTTTACTTGTGGCAGTTCACAGTCGCAATCTTATTGGTAGAAGTTTCTTGCGGTTGTCGGTCGTATAATAGTCTTAGTTGCTCCAGTATCCACCAACAGTATATACTTTTTACCATTTACTTCGCCGTATACGTATACACTATCATCGCGACATTTCAAAGAGGCTGTCAGTATGAAAGGGTCTTTGAAACGGTTTCGGATCGAAGCAGTCCTCTCTAGGCCGACCCGCTCTAGTTTTCCTGTGGTGTGCTGTCTTCATTTGTTGAGATCTTAGGGCGTTTGCACGAACTGCGTACATATCCCATTTCACCGCAATTCCTGCACCTGATAGTCTTTCTCTTTATCTTTTTGTCAGCAAAGGTCTTCATTATGTTAACTAGTTTATCTTCCACATTTTCTTCTTTTACATTCCTCACTTTACTGTATCCTCCAGAAGCCTGCGTAGCTGCCTTATACTCCAGAGCAGCGGACAAGTCATCGACCAATGTTTTGTGACGGGCTAAGCGGAGTGTTTTCTGCATCTCGTAGTCACAGAGTCCATCAACAAATGTTTGGACTGCCAAACATTACATAATGTTTTCTGGAGCTGATGGGTAGGCAAATCGCACCAACCTGGCAGTATCTACCTCATATTCTTGAAATGTCTCGTCTCGTTTCTGTTTGCGATTCTTTAACTGTAATTGGTCTAAATGCTCCAAGTGTTCGTGGCCATATCGCATGTTTAGTCTCTTTTTGAGTTGATCAAAATCATCCATCTCTTCCACATGTATAGTCTAAAGAACATGTAAAGCATCTCATCGAAGGGTGATGGTCAAATTTACGGCATTCTCTCGTTCAGAATATTCGTTTGCTCTGGTAGCTGTTTCGAACTGTTTAAAGTAATTGGTCCATGACATCTTGCCGTCGAAAGTTGGGGCTTTAACACGAGCAGAGTTTACAGTTCCTTCCAATTTCAACTTTGACTCCATATCATGGCATTTAATTTCAACGTACTTGGCCTGTTCTGTATGTTCCATTTATTCTATCTTCTTCTACATCTGTTTTATTTTCTCTTCAACGGAAGACATTATTTTCTCTCCGACGGAAGTCATCTTATTTTCCACATCAGCAGAAATTTAATTTTTTATGGAAGAGATATCAAAGGAGACTTTAATTTCCATAGAAGGCATTTAGGAAAACACAAACTTTACTATCTACGGAAGAAATGTCTGAAGAAACTTTAGTTTCTAAGGAAGAAACTTTATTATCTAGTGAAGAAATATCAGAAGACACTTTATTTTCTTTAGTTTCTAATGAAGAAGTGTCATAAGAAATATCGATTTTTAAGGAAGATATCTTACTTTCCATATCAGAAGAAATGGAAGAAATTATAGCAGACTTATCATCCGAAAATAGAAACGTTTACGGGTCCAAACCTTCTCTTGTTTAATTTAAAAAATAGTTTATTAATTAAAAACAGTTTATTAATTTAAAACAGTTTATTTATAATTTATGTATAATGTACTAACTAATTTATATAATACTTAGACACTATTATAACTCACAATTCTAATTTATTTATTACAATTTATCTTTTCTATGCAACACTTAAATTGAAACTTAACGTCTATCGACAAACTCGCGTTATTTATACAAAGCCAACTCTGCACCAGTACACTGTCGACCATCCAGAAAATCTCGAACCGTCCATGCATTGCTTCCTCTACGCGTCAGCTGCATACCTAGATAATTCCGGAAATGTTTCGATCATGAGTCAGGTGCCAGACACAATGTCGCGCTAAAGATCGAAGAACAGAGTCGGCTTAGGCGTTCGTACAACAATATATACAATTTCTAACACTACTGTCTCAAAGAACATAATGTAAATGAATAAACAGCAACAACAAATTATATATAGGTAGATGCAATAAGTAGGTACTTTAATTGCATTTTGAAAGGACATTTTTAATTTCATTAATTTATTTTGAATTTGTTAAATAAGCAATCTTTATTATTTGTTGTTAATGTATTAATTTTGTGAATTATAAGACGTGTATTTTATTTTATAAAAAGAGGAAATTTTTAAAAAAAAATTTTTATTTTTCTTTTATTTATCTTTTTTTTAAACAAATATTTATTTTCTCATTAATCGTAAAATCTTATGGTGTGAATTTAAAATTATCTTTAAAGAGAGTGCAAATCGGTCGATCGAAGAAAATGAGGTAGGTATAATTTCTGTTATGATAATGGTAGAGAGCAAACCGGCTGATTTTTGGCAAATCGGCCGACACCATCAACAATTTTAGTATGAATAATCCAAGAATAGCGGACGAGAATTTAGACACTTACTGACAGGATCAGATTACTGCAATAAGTTTATTTAGAGCTAATATAAAACTTAAATTAGGAATTATGCATATAGATATATACAGTGTGTCCCTGGATGGACTGAAAAAGAGGAACACTTGTTTATTTTCATCTTTTAGATGAAATGTTATTCATCATAAAAATTTTTGCTTGTTGCAAATATAATAATAATTCAAACAGAAATATCTCTCTGCTTTAATGAAATAATGATTTATTAAATAATTGATTTATTTTTTTTATATGTTTTTATATAATTTCGCTTAAGGAAAGAGATATTCAACTTTCGTTATTGTTATTTGTTTTGAAATAAGCAAAAAGTTTTATGAGGAATAACATTTTTTCGAAAAGGTGAAAATAAAAGTTTTTCTCCTTTCTTTCAGTCTATTCGGGGATACCCTGTATGTATTTATAAAGAAATGTTTTAAAAATAATCTGCAAATTTCCCATATTTGACACATTAGACGTAGATAAATTCTGGGAAAAATACATATGACAATTTTTTGTCTATAAGTAAACATTTAATTATTATGAATATGTTATTGTCATAATAATTTATAAGGTATTTTTTGTTTAAAAAATTGTCATGCAAATAATACATTCATTTTAAAAACAGAACCTTAAGCAGAAACTGTTTTAAAAAAATGTCCTCAATCTCATTGTGTAATCCGATCTTACAGTGTAAAATTTTAATGATTAAACCGATATTATCATTTTAGTCATCGTGTCATGGTCAGAACGTGCAATGGTCTAGAACTGAGAGATTCTGGACTTTACCATGATGCCTCTGAGTTAGTAGATGATCCTACAGGATTTTTTCCTAACGCTAGTTCCATTGATGAGCTAACCCCGAGGTATTTATAAAATGAATTGTTAAATATTCCGTATTTAGTATCGATTGAGTTTTCAGAATATTTGATTATTCTTTATTTATTTTATAGAGAATTGGAGGCAGGAGCGCTAAGGTCTTGTAGCATCCACGGCACTACTCCACCTCCCAGCATGGGGTTCCATTTAGGAGAACATTTACTAGACGAAAAGGGTATTGGTCATATAGAAGACCATCTGAACGAGGTACTGTTGAAGGACTGCCACCCCTGGCACCACTGCCCCGAAGTCCATAAAGCCATTGATGGTGTTAGATTTATTGCTGATCATACTAGGAGAGAGGAGGACTCCACAAAGGTAAATATATGCATACCATAAACTCGCGAATTAAATAAAATAAAAATTAATTTTAAAAAAGTATTACAAATACATTAGATAATGTTAGAACAGAGAATGGTTTTATATTTTATGAGAAAAGTGATTAGCCTCGGCTAAGGGTAACCATTACTATGAGATATTAAAGTATTAAAGAGTAAATATAAATTAAATTAAAAAAATAATAAAAATATGTTAATATCGGGCTTAGATTTAGCCGGATACTTATACAGTTATTTTCGAGTACTTACTTTAATTTGCAATTTACCGAGAATCGGTGTTGCCAGATTCCTTATACCAATTTTCTTCAATTTAACCTCAAACATTCTTCATATTTCTGCAGAGATGTAAAACGTCATTTCGTCATTAGATATGTACATAAAAAAACCTTATTAGTTCTAAGACGGTGGCGTTCTGTGGTTCTGAATTAGGTAGATTAGGAACAGAAAGGAAGGTTAGGTAAAAAAATAAATTTGAAAGGCAAGTATCTTTAATAGTAAACAAATAAAATATTTAAAAATAAAGAACAGGAATTATTTATTTTACCGGCACATCAAAAAACTACATTATCATTTACGAATACAAATTGTTTGATTTCATTAAGTTTAAATGTTTTTCAGTTACAGACATTTTTGCAGCATTGGTACCACATACTTTGATTTTCTTTTACTATACGGAGAATGGTCGCACTGCGCAGCTTTCTAAGTGCCTTTTAAAAGGAGATATAAAACTTTGCCATTTTGATATTACGTGTTGCCTACATCTTGGCGCAATATTTTTAATAGGTGCGTTTTAATCATCCGCTTCTGCTTCAGAATTGTCGGTTTTCTTGTTTTAATCTGACAGGTTAAACGACTAAACCGACAATTCCGGAAGCAGAAGCGAATGATTAAGACGCACCTGATATTTTGCTTGCTGCTGTCAGTGTCAGTGAATATTATTTTTGGAGTCACAGTTTATTGCTAAAGAATCAGTTAGCTCACTCGGACCAGTTGAAAGTTCCAAAATTACATCCACTTCAGGGATACAAATTCAGGATACGCAGAAGACTACTGTTTTATTATAGGCGGTTGTCATATATTGTATTATCCGAGTTGCGCAGTGTATAAACTGGAACATTGAGATCAAAAGTGCCGAAGCGGGGTGAGCGATCTGATTCTTTAGCTATAAACTATGGCATAGGAATCAAAATGGCCGCGCCCTATGTTGGGCGTGTCGGACCTCTCTCTTGCACCGTATAGTAATCAAAGTATGTGTTCTGGGGCACATACTTTGATTTTCTTTTACTATACGGAGAATGGTCGCACTGCGCAGCTTTCTGAGTGCTTTTTAAAAGGAGATAGAAAACTCCGCCATTTTGAACCCTTATTACGTGTTGCCTACATCTTGGCGCAATATTTTTAATAGGTGCGTTTTAATCATCCGCTTCTGCTTCGGAATTGTCGGTTTTCTTGTTTTAATCTGACAGGTTAAAACGACTAAACCGACAATTCCGGAAGCAGAAGCGGATGATTAAAACGCACCTGATATTTTGCTTGCTGCTGTCAGTGTCAGTGAATATTATTTTTGAAGTCACAGATTATTGCTAAAGAATCAGTTAGCTCACTAGGACCAGTTGAAAGTTCCAAAATAACATCCACTCCAGGGATACAAATTCAGGATACGCAGAAGACTGCTGTTTTATTATAGGCGGTTGTCATATACTGTATTATCCGAATTGCACATTGTATAAACTGAAACATTGAGATCAAAAGTGCCGACGCAGAGTGAGCGATCTGATTCTTTAGCTGTAAACTGTGTCACAGGGTTCAAAATGGCCGCACCCTATGTTGGGCGTGTCGGACCTCTCTCTTGCCTCGTATAGTAATCAAAGTATGTGGTTCTGGGGTCAACCAGGGTTAGACCATCTTTCTTTCTAGAGTTATCGTTAAGGCACATATACGCACAGACGAGTAGACGACATTTTTCTTTTGAATTTTCGGTCTCAGAATGAACGGAAACGTGAAAAAAAAGTGGAGGAAAGAAAATGTTTTCGCCTGATGTCCCATAGGAAGTCACTAAAACGCACTTAAAGCCAATCGAGATTATTCAAAAAAGTTTTTTAAAAATAATGCCAAACAAAAATAGAAGATATCCTACTAAAAATGTGTACCAAGAAACCCAGATATTTGACTTACGACAGTTATTCTGTCAAGCAGCACTCACCCATCAATTTAAAAATCAAGATAATCTGCAAACACCGTTGCATCAATATGATACAAGAAACAGAGACAATTATGTGCTACCACGAACGAATAAATCAATTGTACAAAATAGCTATCAGTTTTTGGGACCAAAAATCTTTAATAACATTCCAACGCAGCTCCGAGAAATAAAGACAATACAAAAATTTAAAAGATGTGTAAAAGAATTTATAGCAAAAACACCGCGAACTTTTTTCCGTAATATAATCGAATGAAAAAAAAAATAGAAATTAAATAATTGGAAAGTATATTATAAACGTTAAAGAATCTGAATATTTTAAAAATGTTTTTTGTCTATGTACAGGGCCGACTAGAGGGGGGGGGGGGGTAGCCGGAACTAATTCCCGGGGCCCGGACCCAAATGGCGGCCCGGGAGCGGTACGAGGGAGGCCCGGCAATTTTTGTTTGTTTTTTTTAAAAGTTCGGCACAAGACAAGAGGGGGAAGTTTTTGGGTTGGGGACCTAAGTTTTTACTGGAAGTTTTCTTTTTAGAAAATTCATTTCAAGTAGAGGAGGAAAAGTTTTAACTTGAAGAGTTATTTTTTTTTAAATTCAAGTAGAGGAGAAAAAGTTTTTGTTTGAAGTGCTTTTTTTGTCACGGGGCCCGATCTACAGAATTGTCTTGGGGCCCGGTCTGGCTCTCGGCGGCCCTGTCTATGTAGAAGTAATGTTTGTTGTATGAGATACTTATGCCGAGATATATTGAAAATAAATTTTACTTAATATCAAAGTGTAAAGATTGTATTTATATAACTTTTATTTATACCTATTAATAATTTGTATTTTAATTATTTGCTTCATATTTTTAAATTTTTACTATTGTATTGTTATAAGTTTTATTTATTTTTATTTTGTCGTATCTTTTGTCACACACATATTATGAAGACTAGAAAGAAGGAGGCGAATCGGCAATGGTCAGATTTCAAATTTCCGTCCTTCTTTTTATAAAGTTCGCCAAATTGACTGTAGTTTGCAGGTCGAACGTCACTGCCGTTCATTTTCTATGTAAGTGAATGTAAAATGAAGTGATTTTTTAAAAAATTGGTAAATAGAATCAAAATAATGTGAAAAAAGTACCCGAATACAAGTAATATAAGTAGCAGAAAACATCCAAGCAAGATTTACTTCATTCTAGGGTGGAAAACTAAAGAAAACGCAAAGAGAAATCAATTCAATGTCTTTTCAAAGCTTCTAATATAAGTAAAATAATGTATTTATGTCTGAATATAATATTTATTGTAAACTAGTCGCAACACGTATCTTACGGAGTGTAATTTATTTTATTACAAGTTTCTATCACATAAAATGTTATAGTCATAGATCCTAACTTACAAACAACAATAATTATACATTAAATTTAATTTACTAAAGTTTTTTTGTAGATTTTTAATGTTAGATAAAGAGTTGTTTCTGTTATTTTTTTGTTGAACCCCAAATTTGTCATTGTAAATGTTTTTTATAGAATCCTAAACCAGTGGCGGCTCGTAGGTTTGAATGTAGGTGGCGCGTTGAAAATGTACATAAGGTCGATTCTCCTATCCTTTAAACTTGCAAAATTGTCTATTATATGATCAAACAATGGCTGTGATCGTACAAATTCATTTAAGAGTGTCTTTTCAATTGAAATTTTTGCTAAATTGGTAAGTCGTTGTTCTGTTATTGTATTTCATAGATATGTTTTAATTCTTAGTTTTAATTCGTTTTAAACAAGAAAAACTACGTTCGACTGAAACACTAGTGATCGAAATAGTTAATATTAAGCAATATTCCTCATAAGCTTCTTTGAAAATATCACGATTCTCAAATAGTTTTTCCAACAATTTATCGATGTCAATATTTTTAAAGTTTTCATCACTGTAAATAAACTGTAACTTATTTTTTAACCTTTGTAATTCATTTAATTTACTAGGATACATTTGAACTAAATTGTTTAGTGCTTCTGTGTAAACTCTCCGAATGTACAGAAAATTTGGAAGTGTCCATTAATGTTACGAACTGAAATTTATCAGTATCCTGAAAGCGAGTGTTGATTTGTTCTAAAATTGTGTCCAGGATTTCATAATACAGAATTTTATATTTTTGAACTACTTGATCTCTTGTCAAGACTTGTCTTATGCGCCCATCATGGTGCTCACTGGGCCTTATCGAAACTGAATCAATTATATTGGCAAAAATAACTTTACTTCTTTTAGCGTTTAGTTGATTCTGTGCATTTTTAATTTGAGTTACACAGTAATTGATATCTAAAAAACGTTTTTGCAGTAGATCAAAAAGTACATTGCTGATGGAAAAAATTTCGTTAAAAATGACTGGAAGAACAAATTCAAAGTTATTAAACATATTTAAGTAGGCCTGGCTCTGTCTTATTGGAGTATTATCAGAATTTGGGTCGTTTAAAAAGTCATTAAAAACTTGTTTTAGAAAATTCCAATTATTATGAATAAGACTCAAAATTTTAGAATTAGATGACCATCTTGTAACTACTGAAATGGGATTCGCTTATTGAGGATTACATTGGCGGCGTGAGTTCTTTTTGCTGAATGATGAAAAAAAAAAGATGGCAGACCATTCACATTAGCAAAAAATATACGGCACTTCGAAATTCTGTTACAGCTTTGAGACAGGACTAAATTCAGACGGTGCGCCAAACAATGAACGAACACCGTCTCTGGTGCTACTTCCTTAATCTTCGATTGTAAACCATTTAATTGTCCTGACATAACACTAGCGCCGTCATAACATTGTCCAACAAGTTTTGATTTGTAGTCGTATTTTTCTAGACAACTTATTGTAACTAGGGTAAACAATGCTTGGAGCTGTTCGATCAGAACTTACATCATGGAATCCTAAAAATCTCTCAACCAGCTTTCCTTGAGAGTTAACATACCTAATTATTATGCTACATTGAGATTTTTAAGCAATATCTGTTGAGTCGTCTACTTAAATGGAAAAAAAATTGTAGTCATTTAATTCCATTTCAATATATTGAGAACTACAGTTGATTAATTCATTTTGAATTATTTTAGAATTTGCGACGAATACAAGTGATTTTTTTATTATAGTTTTCTTAAATGTCTACAGACCTGAGTGAGATATAGGAATCTAAAGGTTCCTTAAAATTACCGCGATTTTCGAAAGATTTATCTTCATTATGACCACGAAATGCCAATTCTTGTTTTTCTAGAAAAAGAACTGCTCGAATTGGCAACTACATAAAACGTCTATTAAGATGATTAATTTTTTTTACATATAGCATGGAGTTTTTCTTTTAAAGCGTCTTCAACAGGATTTAATTTTTTTTAGTTCTGTAAATCTTAATGCACAACGCATATGTTCACATGATGATTCATGTTTATGTAGGCCGCGAGTTACGTTCCCAAAATCACCAAAACCGTCTTTATTCCATACATTTGATTTAACACCTACTATCAAACAAGGTACGCAAAGAAGCTTGTTTAAATAAAAACTACCACACAATTATTTACATTTGGAATACCAAATTCCCATAAGAAGCCATGTAATTTCAACAACGCTAGCAACATCAGCGCCCTTGCGGTAAATTAAATACGGGGCAAGAGAGAGGTCCGACACGCTCAACATAGGGCGCGGCCATTTTGAACCCTATGCCATAGTTTATAGCTAAAGAATCAGATCGCTCACTCTGCGTCGGCACTTTTTATCTCAATGTTCCAGTTTATACACTGCGCAACTCAGATAATACAATATATGACAACCGCCTATAATAAAACAACAGTCTTCTGCGTATCCTGAATTTGTATCCCTGTAGTGGATGTTTTTTTTGAACTTTCAACTGGTCCGAGTGAGCTAACTGATTCTTTAGCAATAAACTGTGATTCCAAAAATAATATTCACTGACACTGACAGCAGCAAGCAAAATATCAAGTGCGTTTTAATCATCCGCTTCTGCTTCCGGAATTGTCGGTTCAGTCGTTCTAACCTGTCAGATTAAAACAAGAAAACCGACAATTCCGAAGCAGAAGTGGATGATTAAAACGCACCTATTAAAAATATTGCGCCAAGATGTAGGCAACACGTAATAAGGGTTCAAAATGGCGAAGTTTTCTATCTCCTTTTAAAAGGCACTCAGAAAGCTGCGCAGTGCGACCATTCTCCGTATAGTATTTTGAGTACGCCGATTAGCCTACTTATTTCTAGTCTTCATAGTTAATATTTAAATTTTTTTAATTTGTAACGCCTTTTAGGACGGATTTGATGATGGCTTTGTTAAGGCGAAAGCGCTCAGCCTAATGATTAATGTCACCAATCCCAGTCTACTTAATAATTCACTATTCCTAGTGAAAAGATATTGGTGTGCCAGAAAATGGAGTAATTTTAACTTCGAAACACTTCATTGTTAGATTTAAAGGATGTTTCTTTTCTTCATCTATAACTTTAACTCATACACTATCAATATTCTAAATATGTTTCCTTATGTTGCGGACAATTTTTAAATTAAATTATATTTGTTGCAGGTCAAGGAAGACTGGAAATACGTCGCCATGGTTCTTGACCGGCTGTTCTTGTGGATATTCACGCTAGCAGTACTAGTCGGTACGGCGGGCATAATTTTACAGGCTCCTACACTGTACGACGATCGTCGGCCTATCGATATCCGTCTTTCTGAAATAGCCTCAACCACGGCAAAACCTCATCTTGCCATCTCCTTGTAAAATCACCTTTCGTTTACTTGTTACCTAACGCACATTTATTAACAGCGCTCGACAAAATTAAGTCAGCAGGACAAAATTAGTCAGCAGTACAAACCAAGTCATTCAATAAACACTTGCTGATCTCCATTCATATTTGAATGATACTGGAAGAGAATACTGATAACTGGTATAAACAGGAATTAATGTTTTTTCCTTATATATTACATCTATATGACATTTTACGTTATTTGCCGTTTGTTTCATTCAAATCTAACTAATAATAACGAAGATCTACGTTAATATCGTTTTTTTAAAAGACTACTGCACATGTTTTTTCTTAAATACGACATACGATATTTTAAATCATCTCGCCTTTCCTCTATTCAAATCGGAACAATAATAAGGAAGATATACACTTAATGCTTCTGCGCATGTTTTTGTTTAAATACGGCAGCTCTCTCCTCATTCCTCTACGTCTTTCCAACCGTCGAACTAGAGAACTTGATGAAATATAGTTTGGCATTCTTTGAGTATCCGAAGAGTCCTTCAACATCTCTCCAACCAAAGAAAACAAGAACTCAATGGTTCTACGTCACTCCTTCGTCTTTGGTTCCTTCATTCTTCTTCGTCTTCAGTGCTTAGTCTCCAGAGGCTTTACCTAACGGCTCCTCAACTGTCGAATAAGAGAACATGATGTAACGTAATTTGACAGCTCACTTCTTGGTCTGTTGCCTTTATATATACACTACAATATATGATTTCCCTATTCTAACTCCAACAGTCTGTATAATTTGCTTCTTTTGTCAAAATATTAAGATCGTGCAGCATTCACATGAATTGCCAACGTTTCTATTCTAAGTGAAGGAAAGAAATTGTTTTAAGGTGAAATAACATCTACTTCTGTAATAATCGATTTTAGTATTTTTGAATGGATATGTCTATACAGGGTAGGTCATTAGTGCGTGGGTGGAAGATTGCGGGTTTATTAAGATACGTTTTTAAAATTCATGTTCGGAGTACACCATAATATAATTTTTTCTTTTCAGAAATTCTAAAAAAATCCGAAAATATTTGAATACATTATTTATTATTTCCCATTTCTTTTCAGTTTTTTTCGTTTAAAAGTTTATTTTTAAAAAAACCTACTCGTTACTTTTATCATAAATGATGTAGTTACAGTAATTTGTAAACAAATAGATGTTGGTTTTGCTCATTTACAGACCCTGTCTATATAAGAGGCTTAATGCCTCTTATACAGGGTGGGCCATTAGTGCGTGGGTGGAAGATTGCGGGTTTATTAAGGTACATTTTTAAAATTCATTTTTGGGGCTACAACCTAAAAATATTTTCGATGAAATTCCAATTGTTCTACAAGGTGATTTATATCAAAGTTATGTTTTTTAATGGGAATTCCCTATATATTATTGCATATTTGGATTCCTCGGTCAATTTTAGTGTGACTTTATGTATCACGCATTGTATCTAAAATGAGTCGTTAAGCAGCAATTCATTATTTTTTCAAAAAGTAGATTTCTACTAAAAATTGAATATCGCAGTTATTATAAAACTTAGAAGGCTGTGACTCTACAGTGTTACTAAGCATGAAATGTACTAACATTTGCCAGACGATCAAAGTCAAACCCTTTTCGTGTTTAAAGTAATCCTACGCCAATTTGTAAAATTTCAATCCAAGGTAACTTGATTATTTTAAATGGGACTACCAAATTTTTTTCATTTCATTACATGCAGAATTCAATTACCTTTGTAATGATATAAAAATATGTTGATATTTATATTTTACATATTTCTTTTTATTTAAAAAATTCTATTAATTCACAGAATTTTTCAATTTTTCTAATCTCTTTGAAATTAGTAGACCGTTAAAAATTACAAATAGCAATTTCAATTAAAAAACATTTAATAGGATAAAAAGAAAACAAAAAAAAATAAATAACACCACAATCAAAATAAAAAAAGCAATTATTTTAATAAATATTCAAAATGTCTACCACCCTGTTCTAAACAAACTTGGATTCTTCGACGAAAATAAATTTTATCCCTATCCAATATTTCTGGGTTAATTTCTTCAAAATCGTTTCTAATCCTGTTTTTCATGTTTTCAGATGTGGTTGGTTGTTCCGCATATACTTTTTCTTTTATATAACCCCATAAAAAAGTCCATTGGAGTAATATCTAGAGATCTAGCTGGCCATCGCAATAGTCCATCCCTTGCAATCCACCTTCCATTAAATGTATTGTTGAGCCATGTGCTTGCTCCATCTTGTTGAAAGTATATATCTCTAATTTGAGCAAGTGGTACATCTTCAAGGAGACCAAATAAATGGTTATTTAAAAAATTTAAATAAGTTTCTGAATTTAAAACACCATCAAAAAAGAAAGGACCAATAACATAAGTGTCTATTATGCCTGCCCAAACATTAACCGACCATTTCTCCTGACTATTGACTCTGAAATAGTGAGGGTTTTCATCTGAATAATAATGAAAATTGTTCCGATTAATATAACCATTTCGGTGAAAGGTACACTCATCTGTAAACAACATTTTTTTTAAAAATATTAATTTTCATTGCATTTTTCTTCTGCCCAATTGCAAACATTTATCCGGTGTTGATAATCTGTTTCTTTGATCTCTTGGTGAAGTTGAATATAATAAGGATGTAATTTATTTTTATTTATTATTCTTCTGATAGAGGTTTGGCTTATTTGAAAATGTCTTTCAAGTTGGCGAGTACTAGTATGAGGGTTTTCTACCACTGCAGTTAAAATATTAGTTTAATTTTCTTCATTTATAACAAATTTAGTTCTTTCTTGTTTTTGGATATAAGAAACGTTTCCTGTTGCAATAAACCTGTCCAAGAGATTTCTAAATGATTCTTCTCTTGGATGACGTTCTCGTTCAGGATATCTTTCTTTACAAACACGACTTGCTAAAAACGGATTTCTAGAGCATTCTCAGAGAATGAAAATCATATCAATTAATTCATTTTGGGAAATTTGCGCCATTATTATCACTTAAATTTAGAATGACTTGAGCAAAACTAGAAAGAGTTTTAATAATTAATTTCTAATGTCACAAAAAGTGACAGATTTACTTTATTAAAAAGTTTTAAAAAATACTGTGAATTATTCGATTTTTTAAATAAAAAGAAATCTGTAAAAGATAAATATCAACATATTTTTATATCATTAGAAAGGTAATTGAATTATGTATGTAATGAAATGAAAAAAATTTGGTAGTCCCATTTAAAATAATCAAGTTACTTTGTATTGAAATTTTGTAAATTGGCGTAGCAATTACTTTAAACACGAAAAGGGTTTGACTTTGATCGTCTGGGAAATGTTAGTACATTTTATACTTAGTAACACTGTAGAGTCACGGCCTTCCAAGTTTTATAATAACTGCGATATTCAATTTTTACTAGACATCTACTTTTTGAAAAAATAATGAATTGCTGCTTAACGACTCATTTTAGATACCATGTGTGATACATAAAGTCATACTAAAATTGACCGAGGACTCCAAATATCCAATAATATATAGAGGGTTCCCATTAAAAAAACATAACGTTGATATAAATCACCCTGTAGAACAATTGGAATTTTATAGCCTTAGAGGTCTTACACTATGCCCCGAAAATTAATTTTAAAAATGTACCTTAATAAACCCGCAGTCTTCCACCCACGCACTAATGGCCCACCCTGTATAAGAGGCATTAAGCCTCTTATAGAGACAGGGTCTGTAAATGAACAAAACCAACATCTATTTGTTTACAAATTACTGTAGTAACTACATCATTTATGATAAAAGTAACGAGTAGGTTTTTTTAAAAAGAAACTTTTAAACGAAAAAAAACTGAAAAGAAAGTTTTTTCATTCTGATGAAACATATGATGAAAAAAAAATATACTTCCACTTTTGTCAATCGCTGTTAAAATATTTTTTCAAACATCCATAAAATTTTGTTTAATAACTATAATGAAACATACAATTATTCATTCTTTAGATACCATATCAACCAACATTGTACGTCAAAATCACCTATACGATTCTGCCAAATTTGACGAAAAGGTGTCAAATAGTTTAATAAAACCGATGTCCATGCGAAAATTTCCGATGAATTATTTTTTGTTAAAAAATATTGACAAATTAATTATTTTGATGTAAAATTGACATCCATCGCTCTCTTTCTATAACCTATTCCTCATTAATGCATGTGCTGAATTCCAAAACCATTTGACATACCACAATCAAAAATATCTTTCCAGTAAAGTTATCAAATTTAAATTAAAGATAAAAATTTTCCACGTAAATTTTATACGAAAGACTTTTTTATATCTTCATTGTCATCGAAGATTTTGAGAAATATTGAATTTTACACCTTTCTTAAAATTTCTCCATTACGGCCCATTTTAGATAATCATGCATATTAAAAAATAATAGAGAATAACATCACAAACAACTCTTATTTTAGAAATTTTCTTCTCCAATCATAAATAACAGAAATATACCTTATAGTAGAATAAGGCCCTCCTATGAAGTACCCCCTCTAGATGCTCCTACTAAGCCCAAAATCTAATCAGCTCATCGCAAGATGGATTAAAGCTTGAGTATCAATTTGATGTCGTTTTTTTATCCATTTTTGGATATAGACACATAGACAGACATCGCGAAAATGGTCAAAAGATCCG